TTTGTTCTCATTGTCTTCCTTTGATTATCTAAGTAACCACAGTTGAGTATCGGTTTTGCTAAAGATAGGTTTGGGGTTGTCACTCTGCTCTTTCCAGATAGCAAGGGACAGATGCTGGGCTTTGTGCCTTTCTGTTTTGTTTCTCAGAGAAGGGCTGCAGGGCCAGCTGACATGTTAGCGGCACGTTCTTTTTACATAGACTTTACCACACAGGCTGGTGGTACAGCCCAGGTGGAGTGAGCTCAAAACCAAAAGAAGGGCAGGGCCAGTGAAGAGAAAATGCAGGTAGAAGTTAACATGCAGAAATGAGCTCACATGGTCTCATAATCTGATAGAAATGAAGAAGTAGAACAGACTCTCCTAATTTCTTTCAATTAGTCCTTCAGCAGGGATATTGTCTCAGGTCCCTTCATTTCCCCAAATGCCAGACAGGCCGGGACCAGGGGGAGGCAGGAGAGACAACGGAGTGGGCAGTCTGCGAAGCTGACCCCCCCAGAGCACCTTACTCACCTCTCTCCATCCCCACCACACCCGGCCACTGATGTAAACATAGTCTTTTATCTTGGTCTTAACTGTAAAAGTAAATTAAGAAGCTACAAACCCAACTGAAGTTTGTAGCTATTTGAACAGTTCTCCTTTGTTAGCAGCCCAAAGCTGAGGACAAAATTAACAAGGAGGAATTCACATTTGGCAAGAAGCAAAATACGAAGGCTCCATCGCAGGTCTCCTAAAGGACAATGTCATTTTCCTCACCAGAGAGGCCTAGGTTGCCAGAGGAACCGTGTGCAGGGTCCTGAAGCATGTAGGTTCAGATCCTCTGACAGCATTATCCTTGCTTGCTGATCTGGAGCAGGATGTGAAATTTTCTGCTGGCGGTTTTGGCTTCAATCCACTGAAGCCACATGCCACAGACTGAAAGAGGACCAGGGCCCTCGTGTTGCTGATCGGGCCCTATCTTTTGGTGAGACCCTGTGCTCATTCAGAACAGCCAGGACTCTAATCTTCCTGTCCCCACAGCAGGGGCCTATCTTAGCTCCTTCAGGTCACTGGGGGAATCAGTTTACCTACCTGGTCCCACTGCTTTGCTATGCTGCAGGGCCAGGCCAGGCAGCTTTCACCCCAGGGCTCTCTCGCTCCTTCCTGCTAGAGCCCGCGTTACAAGGGTAGAAAAGGCACATCTGAGCTGAAACCAGGACAGCCAAAATGAACAAAATTAAAAACTCAAAGGGCCAGCTAGCTAACCTAGAAATTACTTGTTCCACCCTTGGTATTTCTGAGACCCAAGATTGAAAAGAAGGGCTTGAACCAGATAAAATACAGTTGAACTTCTGTAAGGTGACCACCCAAGGGACTGTAACACACTAGTCAGCATATAGAGGTGTTCAACATAAGGAACTAGGCCTACCTTTACTATACCGATATGGACATGTGATATATGGCTGGTCTATGAAAACTGGGTCAACTTAAGGAGTCAGTCAGGGCTGGAAGGTGATCAGCTATGAAGATTCTACTGTACTTGGCGTCTAGCACCCTGCCTTCCCCAGGTAGAGGAAATCACTGAGGCACTTGAATGCTGAGTTTTCTGCTGGAGTTCTCTCCAGGGCTGCTGAAATGGAAAGGATGCTGCCAGGCTGTTTACACAAAGGAAGCATGGAATTTGCACGTGCATGTATGCACACCGTGCAACCCATCCCCAGACCATTTTTCAAAGCAAAAAGCATTTTTATGGGTCTCTTGACAGCAGTCACTTCTGGATTTTTCCTCTTTGCTGTGCTGTTTTCCCTCGGGCACTCTCCTTGGCCCAGATCTCTGGCAAGGGAGCTACATGGAGCCAAGGAAGAACCGGAGAGGAAGGCAGGACTCGGCCCCTGCAGAGATGTCTGCTCCAAGGGCTTAGCTGCTTATCTTGCCTTTGCCCTGGCCACTGGCCGAGGTTGGAGGTTCTCTTTCCAAAACTGTAACACTAGGTGATTACATTGTTGATTGTGGGACTCTAATTCAATTAATTCACAGGAAGTCTCTTTGACCTACAAGTCTCTAAACTACCCTCTGTTCCTTTCTTTTCTGCCTCTGGTCATCACTATTTTTTGTTTGTTTTTGAGGCTGAGTCTTGCTCTGTTGCCTCAGGCTAGAGTGCAGTGGTGTCATCACAGCTTACTGTAACCTCATGCTCTTGAGCTCAAGTGATCCTCCTGCCTCAGCCTCCCAGAGTGGTAGGATTACAGGCATGAGCCAGTGTGCCTGGCCATCACTTCTTTTTAAAATGAGCCTGATTCACTTGTTGCATCTTTGCAATAGTCAGCAGGGGGTGAGGAGGTAGGCTATTTTCAGAGGAGGAAATGGTGATACAGGTTCTAAAGGTTTGGTCTAAAGTTACACAACTGCTGGGGTCTTGATTTGTTCAATTCAAAGTCTAGTGCTCTTTCTCTGTCTCAATTTCTTCAGCTGTAAAATGGGGGAGTTAATAAATAACACGTACGTGGTAGGGTTGCTGAGAGGGTTAAATGCTTTAATAATGGGGAAAGTGTTTAAAACAGAGCCTGGTACGTAAAAAGTGTTCAATAATGTCCACTAATATGATTGTCCAATACCTTGTTTTTCTTTACTATTCCAATCATTGGACTCATGACTTTTTTGTGGAAGGAGGAGCCAACTTCCAGGCTTAAAGAGTGTTATTCAAATTGGGGATTTCCCAGGTTCAGAGCTGGCTGGGATGGGACCAGAACAGATTCCTTGTAAGCGGCAAGACTGCACTGTCTGCCTGGCCCTGGCTAAGAGGAAGAAAGTCTTAGACACAGATTAACTAATAAAGGGGAGGGATGACACCTCCACAAAATGCTGAGAGCAGGAAGAACAAAGGCTTCTAAACAATGCCCAAGATTATAAGGCAAAATGCTACTCTGTGATATGTTGAAGGCCTTCTGTTTTGACATGGTTCTGGATTCTTCATGACTTAAGTTTTACTTTCACCCAGCAATTACAAGGTAGAACTTATGTGTAGTAAGAGGAGTACGGAGGACACCAGTTCTCCCCAGGCACATCTGAAAGCCTTCTAGTGGTTAGGACCAGGGATGGAGAGAAAAGTGCGAACCTCTGCTAAGGAGCACTAGTGCTTGGGACAGGCTGCCTGGGGTAAGGACTTGCTTTGTAGGATCAAGCCCTCCTCAGCACCAGCCAACATAAATGACAGGTATGGATTCCTGCCAGCCTGGGACCCTAGAGAAAATGAAGGCAAATGTGTGTCGGTGCCGTTAGGACCACGTCTTTTGGCCATTGCTGAAAAGAGGGCAATGAAAAATTAAAAATAAAATCAGGAAAGAGCTATGCTCCATAGCTTCACAGGCTTGGCTCCTATAGCTCAGTGGGTAGGCCACCAGCCACATACACAGG